ACGAAAAGACGGCGTCAGATTAAGTATCATTGAAAACCAGAGAGCAATAGATGGCTGACTTCTCCTAAATACATTTAGTTCCTCCTGATAAATTCGAATTACTCACTAAAAAACAACTTGCCCAAGATGAAATGAATTCATTTTTTTGAATGGTATAATTCAGTCTCAATGAAACAAAGAACTAGACATCTGAGACCTAGTGTCTGATCGATGTATCCAATATAGTCCTACAGGATGTCCGTCGCAAGCCTGAGTAGCTGACTGCAGCACTGGTGACGCAGGTTCAAATTTCAGAATAGAAACGAGTTCCTTCAAAATTGCAAATGCACCTTGTTGACAAGTGTTAACAAGCAAGAAACCTAGATCCAAGGATACCTTCCAATTGTCTGCAATCATCTAAATTCATTTTATTTCGTAAGGTTTTCCATCAGGTGCGTACAACCTGAATAAGAGACTATAAAAGCAATCAACATGACACAATTTAAACACATTTAAACTGAATAGCCAGTTATTCTTATAAGAGTAAAAGTGTGGTGAGAACTGTCTGCTAGTCAAAATGGGTAGACAGCAATTTGCGTCACTGTTTACGTCCCAAATCTTGTTCGTGAGAAAAAAACGAAAATAAAGACTAATTCAGCAACCAATCACAACAGACTTAGCGTGAGCGGATACGCTTTCCAGATATATCAACGGACTGTCTAAGAAAAGGCCACAAAGAGATGACAGAATAACCTTCAACAGTAAAGCAACCAATCAGAAAACGTTGCTTCTCTGTTGACACTAACGCTATTAATAATGTACATAGAAATCTATAAATATCTGTTGATTTCCTCAATAAACGATCTGTTGCCTGACCCTTGTCTTCTGTTGTTACAGAATGACATTACGAAGATGGAGGTTCAGCATAAATGATGCAGCAAGTTAGAATCATCAATCATAACTAAAATAAATGTATTATGTATTTTGAAGATAAGATTGTTCTGGTATTTTAGCGATAATTCACCCACATAATCATCGACTTTCATCGTAAGTCACTGATATAGCATCTCATATTTATGAGCTTTTCTTACTAATACCTCATCCTTATAACAAAATTATCCTTGAACTCTTTCATTTCTCGTTCGATTAATTTGTTGCGTGATTACATAGTCGTTTCCACTGGTGTATGAATTATCTCCCGATTCCAGAATATCCTTCTTCTCTTTACAATATATAATGCCTTTATTTTGATTAGAATCGTCTGCAATTTTAGCATAATATTCTACTTTCATAAAATGAACTAAGTGTTCAGCTGAAGTATATTCAAATTATATTATGTGGATTGCCTATATATATAGTTTATTTTTTATTCAGGTTACATATAGCTGATGAGAACTACAATGAAGCAATAAAATGAATTCATCCTATCCTGAGAAAGGTGTTCTTCTTCTTATTTTTATTTCCTTTAGTTCCGAGAGGAACATAGGGCTACGGCCGCGCGTCTCCATTGCGTTCGGTTCTCTGCTAGAGTTTTCACCTGGCTCCAAGTCTGCCTACACATTTTCATCTCTTCTTCACATGACCTCCTCCAAGTCACCTTTGCACTGACGACCAACTCGCCGCTTCCCTTTCAGGTTCCACTTGAGGGCTTGTCCAGTGATATCACTTGCTTCTTCTGCCAACTTGTTGCTTTTCACTTGCATATGTTTCAGTTTGTGGGAAATCAGACATATATCATCGACGAAGTCCAGATCCTCCAAGTTTTTTGTGAGTCCATTTTATGCCTGTTTCCTCGCTGCCCAGACTGATGTCTGTCGCATTATCCAGTCTACCACAATCAGGAAAATCACTGGAGATAGTAGGCAGCCAGCCTTGTCTTACTCTCATCTTCACTTCGAAGGATTCCGTAAGTTTCCCATTGTGGATAACTTGGCATGCAGCATTGTCGTATAACTGTTGAATGAAATGTATAATTATCGATGGCACCCCGTAGTAACGAAGTAGTTGCCAAATCACCTCTCGATCGACTCTGTCGAAGTCCTTTCCAAAGTCGACGAAGTTGAGATAGAGAGGTGACTGCCATTCCAAGCTTTGTTTAATGATGATCCGTAGTGTGGTGTTCTTATTGCGATATTCATATTTTACTCTAAATTGGAACTGTTCCCCAATGCGCACCTATTGTAAAAGCAGAAGGCAAGAAACGGAAGCCAAAGTATATTTTTCATTAATCAAACCACTGTTTATACATATACAGTTTATATTCTTTAACCAATCATGGAGCGTGTGATTTTGGTCAACATTAAACGACATGAAATCGAATGTTCAAGTACATATATAGTATTCTGTTGCTAATGGAGTATTGAACTGTGGGAATATGGGAGAGTAATATCCGTTTGGAACACATTGTCTGTATCACTATGACCGACACATTACCACTCAAATACGATTTCGCCTCAAAGACCCACGAATTCTAGCTTTTGTTTATTGGCAATATAGCACCACCATTGCCCAATGAAATCCATGAGCATCTTTCCCTGTATCCAAAATGTTGGATCCAAAAGTCACGATTTCTGATTAGAACTGCATCCCGTAGTCAGTCACCTATGAACTTTGGGTCGATTTTAAAGTTTACATTAATGAAGATTTAAGAGATTCCAAGGTAGCTTTCATTATGATTTATCAGGCTGATGACTACAAGTCAGCATAAAATCTAAATTTACCCTCGGCTGGAGACATTAACCACAACCTACCAATAATTATGATGATAAGAGAAGATTCCAAAACTAGCTGAACACAGCTGTCCAGTGCTTTCTGATTCTCAATAATCCTCTAAATGATGTTGGTTTGTGACGAAATCTACAGTAGAAATAAATCCGTATTCCAACAAAACCAACAGTCTAAATATCAATCTCTAGGTCACTGGTGGCTATTGAATAAATGTCCAGAAGCTGTACTGAGAACTCGTGGCCAGTGGGGTTCACCATTTCATAGGGGAAGAGGAAACCCATTTATATCACTAGTAGTTGGCAGTCATAGTCACCATACCACAAATTGACAAAGTAAGAATTCATGGGTCACTGCATCACAACTCAAGCGGCCAAATCGTCAAAAAGGGTGGTCTTGTAACGTGGAGGTCTTGGGTTCGATCTCAGGTGGGGTCATGGGTGAGTACTCCTATAGAATCCTAAACTATGGTGAAACTTCTGTCCAGTGCTCTCTGGTTTCCAATGGTTCTCTCGCTGACATAGTTTCGTACTTGGAAAGAAATAAAAAATAATATCAATCTTAGTCTTGCATAATTTGAAATTCCTGACAAGAAAAGACAGTTTGAAAAACCCTAAAATCAAATGTTTTCAACTTCGATCGTTTGCAGAACACATATCAGATGTATCATTTGAGATTGAGTACTCTGTTATCGACTTGTTCCTGAAAGTTTTATAAATTGTAGTCAAATCTAAGAACCGATCGATAGTCCGATTGTGAATGCCGAACATCAAGAAATCCTTCTTGTTATCATCGTTGAGTCTGACCAGTAGACACTGGCAGATGTAGACTTCACAGATGATTTATGTCTAATTTCACACAAACTCTAAGATCTACAGACGGCAACCAACAAGTGAGCAGAAAAACCAGTGGAGACGGGACTTCAGGTGAACACACATAAGTACAAGTACAAATCTCACTACCAATGAGAGAAATTTAAGAGAAGTCGCCGATTTCACTTATCTAAACAGCAACACGTCTTAAACTGCAGGATGACATAGGTGAGAATGTCAAAGACAGGATCAAAGAAGCAAGACAGACCTTTATCGCTCTGAAATCAATGTGGGATTTTAATGCATTCAGTATAAGGAACCAGATCTAGATCTTCGACGACTATATCAAGTCACTCCTTTCATATGGCTTACAGAATTGGAGCACGTGTCAACAGTCTGCTGTAGACTCCTTATCAGAAGTTGTCTTCGCTGCATACTCAAGATTAGACAGCCAGTGCCACGAACCACCCAGAAAATATGCAGTAGAAAACAGAGATGAATTGAGCATACACTAAGGGGACGGTTGAGTGATATCACATGTCATATAAACTACCGAGTGGAACTAAAATGCGACACCAGACATAAGTTAATCGTCAGAATGCAAAATGAGGAGGGGGGATCGTGGAAGGAGTGAATGACAGCTTATGCACAGTCGTGGATCCAGCTAAAGGCGATTGAAGAGAAGAGAGTGAAGTGAAGGTATGCTACTGAAGCCTTATGTTCCACTCGGAAACCAAAAGAATAATAATAAATTACTTTTGATTATTTAATTGAATTTTTGATTTTCCCGTCGATTGAATGGACCAAAGTGCTAAGGTTGAAATGTCGACTTCTTGTGCAGATGATTCGACGACGTCTGGGCACGTAATTGCAATTCAATTGTTGAATGGTGACCAGCAGTGGAATCCAGGATAACGCGCATTTCGTCCTATTTTGAACTCGTCAACTGGATTTACCTGCATTTCCAAGTGAGTGATGATGTCCCCACCGAGGCTCGAACCCAGTACCCATAGTTTCAAACGCCGAAGTGTTACCCACTAGACCACTTGGGCCACGAGAGCTACCTCTTGTGCAACGGGTCATATTAATTATTTCATTATTGAGACCAAGCACTTCGGTCCAATCAATCAACGGGAAAATCTAAAATTCAATTAAATAATAAATATGACCCATTGCACAAAAGGTGACTCTCGTCGCCCAATTGGTCTAGTGGATAACACTTAGGCGTTTGAAACCATGGGCACTGGGTTCAGGCCTCGGTGGGAACATCATAACTCACTGGGGAATGCAGGTACATCCAGTTGACGAGCCTCAAATAGGACGAAATGTGCATTCTGTGTTCCACTGCTAGTCACCATCCATCAATTAAAAACATTTTTGAGTTTACATGTTGATAATGACAAATACACAGCAAGATAAGCAAAATTCCTTTCATGACACTTTACTCTTCTTCCTTTAGTGGGTTCTTCTCTGTGTATCGTATAAGAGACCAGACTGCCCTTCTTATAAAAGTTTCATATTTTTCCCACAAATAAGTGTAGACGGAAGTCAACAACTTCAGTAAAAGTTATGCAAATAAGTTTATTATTATCATCGTTAAGAAAGGAAATATAAAGACAATGGAAAAAGCAAAATAACAATAGTCATAATAAGAATAAATAACTAGCACGCTCTATTCTAATAAATCTCGACCTTCTTGTCTTTGTACAAGATTATAATAGAAGCCATGATTAGCCATCAATTCTGTATGCGTTCCTTTCTGTGTAGCAGAGTAAAACAAGAAGAAAAGAATACCAAAAATAAAGAACACATATATACAAACAGAAGAAATATTATTTAATGGTATACAAGCTCACCTTGTAACCAAGAAGGTCCTGGGTTCGAACCCCTGTGACGGACGCTTACTGATGAAGAGTCGCAAACTAGGTTGACGAAACAGTTGTCCACTACTCCCTGCTGGTTTTCCACTCGTTCTCTAACCAATGTCAGCTTATGATGAAATACTGGAACCAATCAACCAAACGCCTACAAACCACTACTTAAATATTATTTAAAATGGAATTTTACTCCTGCATAAATATTCAACACCAATAGATGAAAGACGAAGTTATCATATTAAGCCACATCAACATGCACATACCACCAGTGCATTTGCTCTTGTCCAGCTGAGTAAATTGGCTGTACACCATGCTCTCAAGAGTACTATCTAATCTACTTAACAAACGAAGAACGTGTGTGTGTGTGTCTGTGTGGGTGGGTGTATAGCTTGGTAACAGAACATCTGTTGAACTCAATCAAAGTACTCAAACCTATTTGAAAAATCATCTACATTCCTACATAAAATCCCCGGAGCGACCCTCTCAAAGGCAGGGGGAACAAGATATCTGAGTACAGACGAAGCACTACCGGTTCAAATGTCCAATACTTCTTAGGAAAACAATAATAATATTAACTTAAGAAAAATGTGTTTATATACACATTCATTTCAAAGTAATTATTCATTCAGATATCTATAAAACACAACATAATCGAGCAAAGAATATTCTTTTCAATAAATTCCTCTTCTGGCTCTACAATTATATACATGTTTATATACACAGAATATTCAAGGTTGGTAGTTAATAACAATATTAGTGTTTTTTAAATAATATCGATTTGTAAAGCAAGATCAATGCAATTACAGTTCACTAAAAATACTTAAATTATAATAGTAATAAAGATATAATAGCGAGTAGGATATCAACTAAAATTAGGAAATTTTCACGAAAATTGAGAATCATTCAAACCTAGATGGCCAAGGTAGGGACAGCGTCTGAACTAACTTCTTTTGGACGCACAAATTAGGCTTTTTAATGTGGATCCCAACAGCCTCAGCAATATTTAGTAATCGAACTCTTAAGGCGAAGTTGAGATTTGTTGGTATCCGATAAATAACTCTGAAAGCTTGATTAACATCAATCCTATGTTCTGTATCCACCAGATGAGCCAAAATAGCGCTACGGATAGATTTTGTTTGGCCTTTGCTTAACCACGCAGGGTGATGTTCGGAAATTCGACGAGAAACACGCCTAATTGTGCGGCCTATGTAACTGGCTCCACAGGAGCAATTAAATTGGTAGATACACATGGATGAGGCGAAATTAGGCAGTTTGTCTTTTACTCCCGAACGCAGAAGAGAAGTAGTCTTAAAGATACAACGTAATTCAGCAGCAGGGAATGCTCGTTTTACCGCGTTTCTAATACGCTGTGTTAGTATCTCGCTAGTGTTGTCCCCAAGGAACTGCATCTGAAAGAATAAGGCCTTTTTTGGAACTGTTGGTAACTTCGGCTGCTTTGGTTTCAAATTCATATTCTTATCAATAAACTTTTCAGGATAACCATTCTCACTTAGCAACCGTTTAATATTATTCAGTTCTTCATCAAGACATTCGTCCGAGCAAATCGCTCTTGCTCTGTGAACCAGGCACTTTATCAAATTGCGTTTGTATTTCAAGGGCACAAAACTGAGAAAATGTGTGTACTGGCCCGTTGATGTAGGTTTTCTATATACACTTCTTCTTATTGAGCCATCCTCTTTTCTGGTCATAAAAACGTCTAAAAATGGAATACTAGATTCCTTTTCTGTCTCGATGGTAAAATTTATTGCAGTATGTACCTCGTTAAATTTATCCAGGATGCTCTTTGCTTCCTTCTCGTTTTTCATAATTAAAAAAGTATCATCCATGTACCGACAATAAAATTCGAGTTCACTAATAACATCCTTCAGAGGCCCATTTTCTAGTTTCGCAAGGAAAATGTCGGCTAGAATGGGTCCCAGTGGTGACCCCATTGCCACACCGTCAATTTGTCTATATAGTTCCTTATTAAATAAAAAGTGGACATTCATTGTACATTTCAAGTAATTACTCCTTGTACAGGATCTTCAAGAAATAATAATAATAGTCAACAGGATATTATCTGAAGCAATATTGTTCTATCCGAAGCCTACTCAAATACTTCCTCACAAAGTTCTTCCTTCATTTCCTGCACAAAGACTCACCGTACGCTAGGTTGAAACGTATTTGAAAATGTGAGTGAGGATACATTGTAATGCATAGGGTGTAAAAGGCGAATCTCCAATTCTCTGAAGAAGACTTTTCCGGCAGCAACTCTAAGAGTGATATTCTCTAGTCGCCCACTACTTCGGAGCAACGGGAAGGACAGACTTCCATATATGACCACTTCAATGTGCATATATCAGATCACCTGCTCTTGCGGAGCTAGGTACATAGGTCGTTCTATGCGGGTCTTATGAAAACGTGTTAGATAGCATTATCCAGCATGGCTGCAAAGAGGAGGCACTGGTTCAATCAGAAGCGCAATAACTGAACATCTTGTCAATACCTGTCACAGAATCTCAACTGACTCATCATTTAAAGTCATTTACAAAGTGAACAAAAATCTACCAAAGGCAGTGTGTTTCCGACTTCTTTGTACTGCAGAAGCTCTCGCCATATGCACCGAAAAGTCGGAGCTATGTGTTCAAAAGAAACTAGCCCAGCCTATACAACTACCATGAACCTGGTTCGGTATGTTCCCTTATCCTTCAGTTTTTCTTTTGTTTTGTTATCTGTGTGTGTAATTTTCTCTCTTTGTCTTCATTCACTTCATCCTATTTTTCAGTTATAAAATCAGTTATTTTAAGTTTGTATCCATGCTCCTCCTGATCACACTTGTAATCCGTTTAGAATAACCACTTTACAATTATATTCTAATCCTGTGTAATTTTTGTTTCTATGCCTTTTGTAATCTATATTCACAGCTCTTAACTCACATTTCAAGTTGAAAATTTCAATTTAAATTTGTTTTCATACTAATTTTGTTCACACCTGTAATTCGTCCTATCCCTGTATCTCTAAGCCTCTTGTAATTCATATCAAGGTGAAAATAATTATCACCTTTTATTCGCCTTTAAAATTAATTCTCCAGTTATCAAATATTAATTTTGTATACGTTGTAACTATTTTCTAATCCTACGCAATCTTGTCTCTAAGCCTCTAGTAATCTATATTCGTACTTTCAAACTTTCATATCAAGTTGAAAATTATTATCACCTTCGTTACTATGTGGAATTAAACAAATAATAATTTTATCCATGTAAACTAATCTACATAAATGAGATTTTACAGCTTTTGAGGATGAAATCGCCATCTTTGAAGTAAAGGATACTACTATCAGCTTGTTTCATGCACATGTGATCGATACAGATTATGCGTAAAAATAGTTTACAAGACGCCTAGACACCTATGAAAGGCAATGAACCGTTTGTTTGACTTACTTAGTTTCAATATAGAATTTTGCACAGAAAAAACACCAGTTCAAGTAGCCACTCTTTTTTTAGTGCAAAAAAGGTGTGCTGAGAAAATACATCGCACTGATCAAGGCAATCTACTGGAATTCATGCAGTCAGCAAGGTGAGAGCCTACAGAGTGTTGTCATCTGAAATGGTGACAACTAGTGGTGACCGTCATGGCTGTCCACTACTGTCCCCAGTTCCGTTTAATTTCATTATAGAAGTACTAATCAACTTAACCCTAATTGAATTCAGACACTCAGGGACTGACTTGTTACCATCAGGGAATAATCTGGTTGACTTAGAATATGCAGATGATATGGTGCTTCTAGGCGAAGATGCTGATAATATGCAGAGTTTTCTGAACACCTTGGGCAGCGACAGTTTTCGGATGTTTGGCATGCGAGTTGCTCCAGTCGAAATGTAAGATGGGGCTACAGGACTGGACTACATCGAATCCCAGCTTAAGGATAGGCAGGAATGAAGTGGTAGAGCGTATTGGCCATTTCACCTATTTGGGGAGTTTCATCAGCCAACGCCAGAGGGCTGATCACTGACTAAATTTTAGCATGGATAGAAAAGACTCATGTGACATTTACCGGCTTACACCATCTCTGGCGTAGATGTGATATCCGGCTATCGACTATAAGGCGTGTGTACTGCTCAGCAGTTAGCTCTCTCCTCCTTTATGACTATGAGTGAGGTATAGCCACTGAAAGTGGAAGACATAAAAAGCATGGCTAGTTATCTTTGATCATATGTGCCTGCGTCCTATCTCCCGTGTTAACTGGCATAACAAGGTTAGTAATACTTAGGTAAGGCATCAGTCGAGTGCTAGGTAAGGGAGGAAATCAATCGACGAGCTTGTGAAGATTCATCGATTGAGATAGTTAGTGCATGTGTTACGTATGCATCCCCAGCCATCAACTTCCTCGTTAATGGGCAATGTTAGCAGACAGAGGTCCACCAGGTTGAAAAAGAGCTAGTGGTGGTAGTGGTCAAACGAAAACATGGCTTCATCAATCAATGAAATCCTTAACAGTTAGTTTAAGCCAGACACATAAGGAGGTGAAGACTTATGGTTGGGTTCCTCGGGATTGCAAAAACCAATGACGGCTGAAGACAAGTGGTGATATGGCTCGAAATCGTTCTCAATGGCTGGTGCAGAGGCATTCACTTGTTGTGATTTATAATACCCAATAAAATTCTATTGTTCATGCATATTACTATTCCTTTTGTATCACACTTCAGCTTATTTATCTCTCATTACTCTCTTATGTTGCTTTGTGTGCCACATGGAGTGTGGTAACTCGAACTGGTACACATATGTGCAAAGTTCTATGCTGAAACCAGTCAGACAGCAAAAATGTATAGCAAAAGAGGAAAAAAGAGGGATTACAAGCAGAAATGTAAAGGAGGCAGATTAA